ATCCCCTGGGGGAATTTTTCGAGGGGCGCTGTCTTGAAAAAAAAAATTGCCGTGGCGAATTGGACAGAGAGGGCACCAGAAAGTTTAAACTTGGCAGAGAAGTACCTAAAGGATGGCTGAGTAAAGAAAAAATCATACGTTCATTATAAGTCGCTTTTCGCATGCTGAGCTCAGGGAAAATTCTACTTTGGTAAATACATGCCATTGGGGCATACCGTTTCGGGGAACATATTTCCAAATAGTTCTCTTTGCTTCAATTCAACGGGGACACACGGAAAGCTGAAACTTGGCAAGAACGTGAGTGCTGACGCGCTGAGCTCTGAAAAAATGTCAAATTTTCGAAATGCTTATGGGGTTCATATTTCTTGGGGACGTAACGTTTTCAAGTAATTTTTCACATCCTACCGAATCGGGCAAAAATAGAAAAAATAGCTGGTCCATGCATAACGGGCGTGATGTTGATTTTGTTGTGCGCCTCCTCAGAGCGCAGCTTTTCAGTGGGTCGTTTTTCCAAAAACATTTTTTTCCGCCAGCAAATAGGGGAAACGTATAAGGCTGAAATTGGGTGGCATGGAGTTCCTTGAGTCTACATTTCAGAAGAAAAAAAAAATTGTTACAACCTATCAGGGCACTTTTTTCAGTCCCATTTTCCAGATTTTTTTTGCTCCAACGAAACAGAGACATAAAATATAAACTTCCCTCAGAAGTACCTGTTTAATGGCTGAGTACAGAAAAAATCCTACTTTTGAAATATGTCCCATTAGCGTAGCTTATCGGAGGGAAGTATTTCAAAACATATTATCCACCCTTACAAAAAGGGACACAAAAAAAGATTTAAAGTTAGTCACACATAGAATCATAGAAGTAATGATTTTGATGAAAAGCAAGACATTTGACCCCATATGTCACGTTTTTCAATGGGGACGTACTCTAAATACCTGTTACCCATTTCGTAAAAAATGAATGAATTAATCACTATCCAAGGTAATGGAGCGCCGAAGGCGCAACCATAGCTAGTCTAATATACTTGTATATAGACGATCGTGACTGAGTGACAGACTGACACTAATATTAACCATGTTCAAGAGAAGCTAGAAATCTGAAACTTCGTACACATGTACCTTTTGGGATGTAGAGTTCAGAAAAAATCCGAGTTTGGAGGTGCATGCCCTGGGGGCACCCATTTTGGGGGGAGACCTTTTCAATGGTATATATTTTCCTTAGATGGAGAGACATGGAAATGTGAAACTTGGCATGGACATGCCTACTGAGACACTCAATTCATGATAAATGCCTATTTTCAGATGCATGCCCTGGGGCCTGTTTCATGGAATTTACAAGTTCTACAATTTACAAGTTACAAGAACTTGCAAGGGTCGTGCTCCTTGTTTAACTCTTCCTGCCGGTCTCGCTGGCCCTTCATACAACTACGACACGGCCCTTGTAATTACTAGTAACTTGTAACTTGTAGAAGTTGTAAATTCCATGAAATAGGCCCCTTGGGGGATATTTCTGGAGGGTGACGTTTTCAAATAATTTTTTTTCCTACCGAATTGTGCAGAGATAGAAAGGTGAAACTTGATATACAAGAACATATCGGGAAACTGAATTCAGAAAAATTTCGACTTTAGAGGTAAATGCCCTAGGGGCACACATTTCAGGGGGAGATATTTTAAATGTATATATCTTTGCTTCAGTGAAACAGATCAACATGGAAAGCTGAAACGTTGGATGGACGTACTGTGACTGAGTTCAGGAAAAATATCACGTTTTTCATACATCCCCTGGGGGCATATTTTTGGGGGGTGACGTTTTCAAATGATTTTGTTTGTCCACTGAGTTGTACAGAGATAGGAACTTGTGAAACGTGGCACAACAATAACAGGTGATGAGTTCAGAAAAAATTCAGGTTTTGTGGTGCATACCTCCAGGGCTCAGCTTTCGGATATGTCGGCTTTTCCAAAGATGCAGATGTACGCTTACCAAGCGTACATCTGCATGCAGCTGGCTGAACAACCAGGTGGACGTTCCACCCAGTGGAAATTCACCTTGCCATTCGCGCATATGTATCTTGAGCCGGGTGGATTTTCCCTTCTGGGTGGAATTTCCCTCGGGTGGAAATCACTCTAATAGGTGGAAATACTTCTATGTGGCTGGCTCCAAATCCAAATGGGTTGTGTCACAAGGTTGGACTTCATTTGAAAAGTTGATGAAACTTACGGCACTTTCCATCATCTGGTACGTATTCATCTTTGCATTGACAGATCAGTGCCCTCAAGGAAGGACTTCTGGCAATTCTAATTTTCCCCCGGGCTTCCCATGGCAGAGCCAAATCTACAAGAAAATCAGAGCACTCTATGACTCAAAATCGCATCCATGGAAAGCAGTTGATTGGCAGTATTCTTAATTCTTTTGCTGTGGCATTTAAATTTCCCTCTCTTCCCTTCCCTGCGAATTCTTTTGAGTCTCTGTTATTCAGCAACTCCACACCAAATCGACCAGCAAGTGAGCTCGACCATCTCGGATTTCGAGGAAAATAGACATACACGTAGAGGAATCGATTTAAAGAAAACCATTTGAACCAATTTTTTTATCTCTCCCGCAGATTTCCAGATATATGCATTTTAAAGTGACCTACTTTTCGCTCCAGTTTCGCTCCTTGCGCCCATACGTACTGAAATTGTGAAACTCCTTCTGCAATAACTTCCCCTCTACTTAATATATAAGCTTCATTCTCGTGTTATTGTGAGATTAACGTCTTTGAATTAATTCCAAGCACATTTCTTCTAAGCCAACACAAGAAGTTCCACTTGATCAAACGCTTCAATCAAGTTCAGTGGCCAAAATCGACACTTGCCACCTAGGGAATTCTTTGTTCCAATATTTCATTAAAAAGTGCATGGTATGCCATTTCTGATGGCACCAAATTCGAGATTGACACTCAATGGCGTGATGATATATATATATTTGTCTGTGTAAAAATTCTATTTGTTCGAACATTTTGACTTCATTGACCGACACTTGCACTTTCCACTCCATGAATTGCGACTTATAATTAGGGCCGTCACGATAGCAGTTTCTAAAACATCGATGCATCGACCTGAACTATCAATAGTGTATCGATGCATGGGGGGGGGGGGGATTCAATATTTTCTCGCCACGATCGGGAGGAGGTTCGTCTTCCATCGTTTCCTGCCTCGATCGGAACGCGGACCTTTATCCGTCTTCCATAATCTCACGCTTGCGATGGGGGGTGCGGGGGGAATGTGTGACCTTCACAAGGAGTAATGAAACCTACCATGCTTCCAACTATCGAAATTGATTTCCATTCATCGATGGGTGATTCAGGACAGCCCTAATTTTGTCTTATTGTCGTTGAGAGCCAGTTGCCTGCCCGCTCATGTAATTTATTTCCTTTTTTTCGTTTTACACAGTCTTTGAACATCGGCACCGGCATATAGGAAACCTGCCGACGGTGCCATACCGGTGGTTACCAAAATATTGGTACAGCCTTAGAATAAGCAACGTCCATGTAAAAAATTAACATTGAGTTCACCTTAAGAAGAGATAAAATGCCCCAGGGCAAATTAAAAAACTAACCATGTTAAGAGTAACGCCTGCATACTAAAGAGAAAGACAGGAATCTAGAGAGGGGATTAACCAATGTATGTTTCGAAATCAAGGGAGTATATGAACAGCCCACCGCGCAGCATGCATTTCTTAGCTGTTAGAACCTCGGGAATAACCTCCTACACATACTCACGCTATGAACGCTCGACCAAGGGTCTCGACCAAGGCTCGACCAAGGGACTTCTTAAATGAAAGGAGACCCACTACTGGAATGGGCTTACCCATCTTGTTATCTGGCATTCCCATAGGTACTATGATGAAATGCCAGATAACAATAATTTATTTTTTGACCAAAAAAATCTGGTAGGTTTTACTTAGGTTCTAGAACACTAGTAAAGTGGGGGAAAAAAAACCTACCTTAAATTAGTTTGTAGTAGGCCCGGAAATATGATGCACATTGCACGTTTGTGACAAACATTTTCAGATTTTTAACCCAAGCTGCATAAAGCTTGGCTTAAAGCCCAGCATAAAGCTGCTAAAGAGCTCAGTCGGTCAGTCAACGTTCGTACATACCTCAACGCAAAAGAAAAGGTAAAAATACGATGAACATGGACCCTGGATTGGCGTAAAGTTGAAAATGATTTGCACCAAAAACATCAGTCTGTCACACGACGAAGGGGTGTGGTTTTAATTTGCTTGCCACATGGAATGCATCTAGCACCTAGCGACCGCGAGGGTACGAGGTACAAGAACTGGATTGTTGCAGGTCTAATAGGAACCAACTTATTGCTAGAGCTCGCTACCTACGCATTTTAGAATATTTTGGATGTAGCCTATCTGCTACTTCATGCATGAAAGGATTAAGTCACCCGTGGCGATGAGAATGACAGTCTGATGGTTATTAGGCTAGGGCGGATAGCCAGAGAACTCCGTAGTACTCTTATCCTCACCCTTCTATTTAGGTTCCTCATCGAGCCCTGAACGCATGAGCACGGCTCCGAGCTCGAGCTGTGGAATAAATGTTGAGATATGCTGAATGACCCGTCGCCAAGTGAGAATTAGCATGGTCAAAGCCCAGATTTTTCAGCACTAATCACTAAATACATTTTTACAATATGAGATAATTTTCCAAAAAATTTTGACAGGTTTCACAAAGTTTTGCGTATCTGTCAATGTCATATGCGATTGCTTCTTAAGTATACAGGGTGACAATAAAGTCTGTGGACACGTATTTTTGTACTTATCTCTGCGTAGATTGAAGCAAATCGGTTTCTTTTTTTTCTGCACAAAGAACCTACTTAGAGTGACCAACAATTTTATTCTTGTTCAATGTAGCCGCCTTTGGCCTTAGCAACATTCCTCAAACGTGTGATGAATAATTCGGCTGCAGCTCGCGACACTTCTTGGGGTCTTTCTACCCAAGATTTATTCTAGGAGATGATGAGAGAGGCTAAGCTCCTGTTGGGTTTGCAGAACCTCTTGAGTAGCGCTTTCGCTTTTCGCAGCTTGGCTTGTTGCTGTGCAGGGGTTAGGAGCTGCACCTTTTGAACCTTGTAAGGCTTCAACTTTAGCCTGTCTTTGGCTATCTTTCGAGCAGACTCGCTGCTAATACCAATGGGGGAGGCAACAGAACGCATGGAGCGGTTGGGGTTGCGTCTGAGCAGTTGTCGCATACGTTTCCTGACCTTGGGGACATAACCAGTTGCTGGGCGGCCGCTCCTGAGGTAGTCAAGACTTATAACAAGCTCCTTGAAGCGTTTCACTGCCTTGTAGACGCTGGACCGTGGCGTACCAAGAAGACGAAAACATTCTGCAACTGACTCTCCAGATTTGTGGAGTCCGGTGATGGTTTCGCGCTGGTATAGCCTCCTGAGGTTTTGCACAAAAGAGTTGAAACTTTGGGATTTAATACATGACAGCATCGCCTATGCGCACGCAAAAAATTGCATTATTTGATTAATATGGCAGGGAGAAAATGCACTGTCTACAGACTTTATTGTCACCCTGTATATATTTTGCTTCAATGCGGTAAACACAATTAAAGTTAATATTGCTTCAAATTTCAGTTTTGGACATAGAATGACGTAATTCTCACCTAACACAGCACTAAATCCATGACCATAAAGCTCCCGTCATATAGGAGTCAGGGATGTTCTCAGGTAATGCAGAATTATCCTTTATTTTTTTAAATTTCGCTTTACCCTTGGGTTGCATCTGCTTTTAGGGCTAATTATGGATTGGTTCAAACGCAGGTTCCATTTGTTGCTGTAATCAACTTAAAAATGCAAATAATTACAGGATCTCATACTAATCACATTTATAATTAAAATGTAAAAACTTCATTGGCTACATCTAGAAGAGAGAAGTTCTTTATGTGCTCCTCACCCGGCATGGCTTAGTGACCAGTAATTCAACCTCCATATAATGTTTCACTTTACTTCTGGCGCAGCACACAAGGAATTAATTCTCATTGTAACATGTATGTTTGCACTATTCAGCTGACGGTATGTAGATTTATTGAAAATGTCAAATCCACAATGACGACATGCCAGGGTGCAGCATTTAAGACAGGGATATTACTTTCTTCTAATGACCTGCTCTCATGAGAAGAAAAATTTACCTTTCGACTTTGTCCTGTGCTCCACAGTGGCGGATGCTTCAGTTGAGGAGGATGCTTCAGTGGAGGATGCTTCTGTTGAGGAGGACGCTTCAGTGGAGGATGCTTCAGTTGAGGAGGATGCTTCAGTGGAGGATGCTTCTGTTGAGGAGGATGCTTCAGTGGAGGATGCTGTTGTTGAGGAGGACGCTTCAGTGGAGGATGCTTCAGTTGAGGAGGATGCTTCAGTGGAGGATGCTTCAGTTGAGGAGGATGTGTCTGATTCAGCACATACAGAATATTCTACTGAACATCCTATGTCAGTCAAGCAGTTTTCATCCAAGTTGGGGAGCCCTGTAAGGAAAATACCAAGAAGAGGAATGTCACTATGACGCCCAAGAGCGAAGGAAGAAAAATTCATTGGAAAAAAAAAAAGAAATTCTCAGGTTTGAACCATAAACCTTACTTTCATTGCTTCCTTGGAAATTCCTTTCTTTCCACTGCTTTATTAATGTTAGAGACCACTCCTCTATACCCTTCATTAGGAAAGTTGCACCACATAATGGAAAATTTTAAATATTCCTTTCAAGACATGTTTAGCAAGATTCAAACGATTTTCGGGCAATTCCAAGCAAAATTAAACATTTGAATGCCGAATGTTTCCAAATTCGAACAGGGCATGTACCAATAAGTGGAAAAAAGCGAATTTTGCCATATTTGAACAACCCAGGTAGCACATAACATTGATTCAACGTTTATTTGGTGTGGATCGAATGTATCACTGTTTGAGGTGTATACCTCTACGTTGAATCAACATCGATTCAACGTTGTGACCATCACCGTTTATCCACCCACATTGACTCAACATTGAATCAATGCCGCACTATTCACGGTGGAAGTGTCGACAGTAAATCAGCCTCGATTCAATGGTTTCTTTTGCAGCAAAAAATCCATTGTTTTTTATTATCTATTCTCAGAATTTTTTGTATGTACTTTATCATGATTCGTTTAATAGTTTAGCCAATCGCCCATAATACATCACGATCACGAAAAATGCTTCATTTAGGGCAGATAAGAAGGTGGCTGAAATTACGCCTGGCTTAATGTCTATCGCAGGAAAAAACAAAAAGAAAAAAAACTCTCGCGAGCATCTGACATGGTGGAATTGTCTCAATAAAAACATAAAATAAGAAAAAAGTAGGTTCAATAAGAATCAAATATGTATATATTCAATATTTATAAATATATACATACTGTATATACATTTTAAAAGCCAATTAATCGATTGACCTGGACATGTTGAAATCTAGGCTATTATGAGGAGCACTTTTTCCCGCAGCATTTGCGACTGTCGGATCCATTCTCGAGAACGTAATAGCCCGAGGGGGGTGGGGGAAGAGTTCCGGTAGGATAAGAAGACTAAAAACAAAATAACGCAATCGAACCCTAGACTTTCTGATTACGAAGCAAACGTGTTACCACTGCGCCATGAAAGGCCAGGCTATCAGTATTCCTTTCCATGTCATCCCTAACATTACAACGGGAGAGAAGCATTCTACGAACCACATTCGCATTCAAACGCGTATTCTGTCGCATGTCCGACTTTTTGATTAGATTAAATAAATTATTTTTTTGCATAAAAAAATAGTCAAAAAATGGTTTGCAAGCAACGCTCAATGGACAGTCTAGTAACCCTGAACTTCAAACCCTAGTTTCCTAGGGGTGGGGCACCTGGACGATGGAGTTTAGTGGCCCTGTGACTTGGATCACAAGGGCCACCTAGGTGACGTAAAGCAGGAGTTGGAAATCAGAACAAATCTGGTATTTTCATCCCCGATATAGACACTGACGTGTTTGGAATGAGGCATTGAATCATTGTTGACTGGGTGTGGATTGAATGCATGACTGTTGTTACATCCATGTTACTTCAACATTGTTTCAACGCGGTGACCGTCACTGTTTATACACCCACTTTGGGCCAACATTCATTCAATGCTCGACCATTCACGGTCGAAGTATATGCAGTAAATGCATTCTCCATCAGGAGATGGAAGGAGACACCGCTTCACGGCCAGCATCCCAAGATCATGGATAAACCATCGATCGACTCGGACGTCAGATATANCCTCGTAGATGTGAGCATTCCAGCCAAGAACAACCTCCAAGAGAAGACCAGGGAGAAGCTGGAGAAATACTCCGAACTAAAAGTGGAAGTGGAACAGTTGTGCGGAATGAAGACCACCATAGTTCCGATCATCATAGGCACAACTAGCGTGGTCCTGAAAGACCTCAAAGGACATGTCAGGAAGCTGGAGTGTGAAATCTCACTGGATATCCTCCAGCGCACAGCAATCTTGGGCACGGCCAGCATCTTTCGCCGTGTCCTTCAGAATTAGGCGAGTATGAGGTCTGGGATGTGGTCCATTCCCCCTCATATCTCCAATATACAATAAAACATTAAAAAATTAAAACGAATCATGATGAAGTACACTCAAAAATCCTAAAAGCAGTTAAAAACAAGGGATTTTTGCTACAAAAGAAAATATTGAATCGAGGCTGATTTAACGTCGACACTTCCACCGTGAATAGTGCAGCATTGATTCAATGTTGAGTCAATGTGTATGAATAAACGATGGTCAGCGCGTTGAATCTATGTTGATTTAACATAAAAGTGTAAACCTTCAACAGTGAAACCATTGATCCACACCAAACCAACGTTGAATAAATGTTATGTGCTACCTGGGTGATGACCGTGTACCATCAAGACCGTCCCAGAAAACATTTTTTGTATTATTAGTAAGAAAAATAGGAATGATTTTAGCAGCCATTACAGATCAAGCTTAACTAAAATATATCTTACAAGTGTCGTCACGTCACTTCTCCTACACTAAGACCTTGATGGCCTACATTAACACGTCGGTGCCTATTTCGGGAAATAGGCCCGATACAGAAAGGTTTTGAATCGTTGCTCCTAGTTATGAGCCGAAAATACCATTCTGCTTGATTGGTGTGACGAAATTATTTGCTCAAAATCGAACGTTCCTCTTGAAAGAAATTCTTCCTGGTAGATCGGGTGAATATAACTGCAAAAGCTGATGGAGTAAGCATGAAAAAAATCAATTACTGCAGATACTTCGACTGTGAATGGTCCAGTATTGAATGAATGTTGGTCCAAAGTGGGTGTATAAACGGTGACGGTCGTAGCGTTGAATTAATGTTGAAGTGACATGGATGTAACAACAATGATACATTCAATCCACACCTAGTCAACAATGATTCACGTCGGTGTCTTCATCGGGGATAGAAATACCGGATTTGTTCAGATTTCGAACTCCTGCTTCATGTCACGCAAGCCGAACATGGTATCAGGCGAGCCACTGACCCCGAACTTCACTGATAAAACTCGATGGTGGCCCACCGAGTTTCAGTTACAGCACCACGAAAGTGCGATGCAGAAGCATCAGAGATATAAAGTTTTCCATTGATGCTGCTTTCTTTCTTATCCAATGCAAGAGGGAAGAGTTCCTCCACTGAGAGCCTCTGGAAGTTCCCACATTTCTAATTTCATTTCCAATATCTCAAGGGTGGAAAGGTCAAATGAAAAATTATTTTCCCCAGTAGCCAGTAACATTGAATCAACATTGATTAAATGTTGATTCAACGTCTGGATAATGATTCATTGTTAGGTGCTGCAAGGTTCCCCATTAAATAAGGAGACTTGTTCTTAAAAGCAAAGATCCCTTTTTATCCCGAAAAATTACCCTGGGGCCCCTAGGTGGCCCTTGTGATCCATCAGTCACAGGGCGGTTAAACTCCGTTGTCCAGGTGCCCCACCCCTGTGAAACTAAGGTTTAAAGTTCAGAGCTATGGGTTACACCGATCTAGCCTGACAAATACACTTTAATTCATTGGAACGGTACATGGCTAGATTTGAAAATGTCTTCAAGTCTATCGATTAATTAGCTTGAACAAAAAAGGAAATATATTATTTTTATTTAATCTCCTTTTTCTAATTTCACGTTTGTATTGAAATAACTCCACGATGTCAGATGTTCACGAGAGATTTTCTTTTCTTCTTTTTCATGTTAGTTGCGATAGAATTTGGCCAGGCGTCATTTCAGCCATCTTCTTACCTGCCATTAATCGACCATTTTCTTGATCGAAATATATTCTTGGCGATTGAATGAACCCTTATGGGTTAAACAAAAATGATCCTAACGGTAGGCATAAAACACAAGGGATTTTCTACTTCAAAAGTATCCATTGAATCGACGCTGATTTAATGTTGACACTTCGACCAGGAAAAGCGCAGCATTGAATCAATGTTTAGTCAATGTGGGTGAATAAAGGGTGACAATCGCCGAGTGAAATCAATGTTGATTCAACATGGAAGTATAAACCTACAACGGTGATACATTCGATCCACACCAAATCAATGTTGAATCGGTGTTATGTGCTACCTGGGTTAGTTCTATCCAGAGTTTCTTGAACCTTCTCGGCTCCTTTGGAGAAGAAATGCCTTTAGAAAGCATGACATACAACCTGGCTGCCATAATATTAATTTAGGGATTTCCAGATGAGATCCGGATGAGATATCTCGGTATTCCTCCAAATCGATCGGCCACTGCAAAACCACCCTTTCAATCTCGGCTCATCCCAAGAATTCGACACAATAATGTCTCCCACGTTAAGAAAGAGAAGATCCAGACTATGATACAAACACCGTAGAAGCCACGAATCTGACATAACTCCGACTTGATATCCAGCAGCACTGTTTGACAGGACCGTTCCATCACAAAACGACCTTTAATTAACGGCAGCTGATTTCATTTTTCATGGGGGAATGCTGCACAAGCAATTAATAGGGTACTTTTCGTCACCTACAGGTCTTTCGTTTGGTAGGTCTCTTTCCTCCACCTCCACTGCGCGCAGAGGTCACCTCCTCCAAAGACGGTGACGGGTCCGGATTCCACAGTAAAAACGGAATCGAAGAACTCGTTAAGTGCACTGGCCATATCCTTATTACTTCCAATCAAATCCCTCTTTTCGTTCATTAGCGGCTCGATCGACTGCTGACACCTACAACCAGCATACCGATAAAAAGCCTTAGGGTTCTTCATAGCATTGCTAGACAGCCGTTCCTCGACCTCCCGTCTCGCACATCTAATTTCCCGCATCAACGTCCGCGTGATCCACCTATATTCCTCATAGTCCGTGCTATCTGCTGTGCGCTTGTACGCATCCCATTTCCGCTTTTTATCACTGATGAGAGTTTTGATTTTACCCATAAGCCATACCGGTTGCCTGCCCGATTTTATGGATATCTTGGGGATGCATTCCACCATAAAGCCCTGCAATAACGTCTTGTCGGTTCATTTTCGTACTGAACGAGAAGAGCGTCCTGAACCGCAACGAGATATTCCCTATCCTTTTCGCAGCCCCCTCACAGCACCGACCAGTTAATATTGGTTGGACCAATTAAAAAATCCGAAGAGCAATACCTGCTTCGAGTTCTCGCCGATCGTACGCATGAGTGCAAAATAAGCTGCTTCATCCTCCAGAGAAGAGTTAGGGGGCCTATAGCAAATTCCTATCACGATCTTCCCAGTTGCCCCACCGATCTCGCACCATAAGTGTTCAATTGCTCCACAGTTAGCCAAGGTGAGATCATCTCTGACGCGAACGCCCACTTCGGTTTTAGCATACAACACGACTCCTCCCCCCTTTCTGCCTTCCGCAAGATGTCGTACCCTTCGATCTCGAATTCCTTATCTGAAATGTGAGAACCACCCCAAGTCTCGGTTATTCCGATGACATCGAAACCTTTGTCCATTGCTCGCCCCCTGAGCTCGTCTATTTTATTACTAAGGCTCCATGCATTCGCGTAGAAACACTTGACTCTTTCCTGCCCTTCCTGCACGCCAGTACGCGGCGGACTAAAGCTGGTCGTAGTGGCTATCCATTGCTTGTGATCCCTTGCCCCTCCCTCCCCATCTATAACCCTAAAAAAGGCTCATTTTCCTTCATGATAGCCAATCCGACTGCTACAGCTCCCTCTTTCGAAAAATGTACTCCATCCCTAGCCATCGGACTTCTACAGCGACTCAAAGCCTCCCTAGTCCAGTTACACTGCCCCCTCGGCGATACATAACTTCTTCATCCCCTTCCCTTAACCCCTTCCGACCTGGACCACGTGATTCCTCCCTTGTCTAGCCTGCTCGGGATAGCGCATACCGCCACCCGCACCCCGACCTTGCCTCCCGAAACGCCCTAATAGCCTGCCTCAGCCTGTCCATGATGAGTTCAGAGCCAGACTTGGGAGTATCGTTGGTCCCTACGTGAAGGACCAACGACACTTCCTCGGGTGACACGGAGCACACCACCGATCCGATCTTATCCCTAATGTGTTCAATCCTAGCACCGAGAAACTGACTGAAAGAAACCTGAACTCCTGAATCTATCCCTCAAGACGCCTGACGTTCGAGTCACGACGATTACAAGAGCCCGAGTTTTCCCTCTCCCTTTCAACACGGCCTGAGCTTGTCCTGCCGACCTCACACCTGTTTCCACCCCACCCTCCGTTCCCTTATCTAAGCTGACCTCCCCCAACCCGAAAAATTTGTTTTCGTTCTTAATGACTGCTTGCTAAGATCGCTTAACCTTCGTCCCCTTTACGACCTGAGCCCAATTCCTAGCCACCTGAGAGTCGGCACCCGACGCGCTGTCAAAGAGACGAAAGGGCAACCCTCCCAGTAAAGTCCGGAAGGCTGGGGAACCCCCGGAGTGTCTCCTCCACCCTAACTAGCCACGCCACTAAATCAACCCTCTGTATCTTGCCCATCTCCTTCCTGATCCCTCTTATCTCCTCCTCCACGCTAATGAGTCTTCCCGATAGCNAGAATCACCTGCGGGACAAGGCCTTCCACGATCGAGCACAGCTCGAAAATGATGTCGACCGTTTCTTCGCTTCGCAATCGCCAGAGTTCTGGGCAAAGGGCATCGAGCAGTTACCCGTGCGTTGGGAAAATGTCATAGACAACAATGGTCATTATATTGTAGACTGAAATTGCATTTCAATAAAGTTATAACATTTTGAAAAATTTGCGCAGAGTGTTGCAAGACTTCCTTTCCAACCTAATATATATGGTGGTTAAAAAATTATCCACCTTTTTCTATTGGAGAAGCAGAGTTTCATACATTGAGTAAAAAATTACATTGGATATGCGATCGATATGTAACAGTTGCAAGGTGCTGAAATGCTTCCCAGCTTTTTTGCAGCACCCCTGTTCAAAGCTTGCAATGCCCATATAGAGATGAATTAAAGGTGCTTTGAGATGGATTATTTCACTTCAAGTGATATGATTACCTGTGCTAGACTGTCTCAGAATTCCATGAATTTTTCAACTTCAACCTTTCAAGGGACTGCTGTATCCAGCTGATACTTGACAGACATGTTCACGAGTCTAAGGGTTTTTTCAATTCCGCAATATGGCGCTGTATCCCGATAGAGGGCGCTATTGTTGACTGGATGACCGAGGGTGATTTAAAAAAGCTCTATCGTTTTCACAGGGGAGAAAGTACGATTCATGTATTAGAGTTAAAAATATAAGACTCATCAACTCTTGACATATAGGAGGTGTTGAAAAGATTGTAATTTTTTCTGAACAATTCTCTGAGCCATGTATTGTCCTGTTACACAGTTTACAGTTGGAGAATTAAACATTTTTTAAAATCACCCTAGGTCACCTCGTCAACAGCTCCCTCTATCGGGATGCAGCGCCATCTTGCGAAAGTGAATTAAAAAAACCATTAGACTCATGAACCTGTCTGTCAAGCATTAGCTGGATCCAACAGCGTATATGTCGTGAAGACACTGTTAGGAGGCCCAATTGAATGTCCCAGGTTCGGTGGTGTAAGGGTAGCGCACACTGACCAGGAATCAGGATACTTGGGTTCGATTCCCGGCCGTCATATGAAATTCCTTCGTCCTCTCACAGTCCACCCAACCTTCCCTGCCTTCAGTTCTTCAAGTAACATATATTGTTGCAAAAGCTACCAATTTATTGTTACCTACTGCTCCACTTAATCATGCATACTTCGGAATTTTTAACATTTCTTGAAAACCTATATCTTCTTCATCTTTGCCTCGGCTCTCATTGGACCCCCCCCCCCCCAAAAAAAATGAAAGCTTTAACATGATAATAATAATAATACCAGACCATCAGAACCAGGTATTATGAAAGTCATGCCTTGGGAAAGGAAGTAAATGACATCAGGCAACATCCAGGGACGAAACACCACATTGTGAGAGGGTGAACAGCACTAGCTGTAAACACCTCGTAAACACCAACGTCGTGACAATGTGGGCAGATACGTCCTCTGGTGCCTCTGCGAGGGCAGTGGACTGCCTGCTGCCGAACGTTGGTACCATCAGCCAGCCACAGTTCAAGAAAACGAGAAAGCTAAACTGCTATGGAACGTTCCAATTCAGACTGACAGCGCGATCAGGGCCAATAAAACTGATATTGTAGCAGTCGATAAACCAACAAAAAATCGCCAAATTAATCAGTGTCCCTGTGGATTCCAGCCTCCAACAGAAAACCACTGAGAAAATGGAAAAGTACACTGAACTCAGAATTGAAGAGAACGAATGTGGGGCACCAAGACCAGCATTGTCCCCATCATTGTCGGAGCAACATTTGTGGTTTTCCATCCAATCTCCAGTGTCCTCTGAAGAAGTTAAATGCTCCATCTCTGAACCCGACTATCATACAAAAAAGCGCAATCCTTGGAACAGCTCATCTCCTACGAATTCTCGAAAGGCAATGGGTCTTTGGGCTGAGGTCCAGCCCTCCTTCCATCCCACCCATCCGGCGAAAAAGGCTGTGGAAAACTACCATAATAATAATATAATTAAATATAAAAAAATTGATTAAAGCTGAAATGGGGTTAATGTTAGCTGTTTCACTCACTTTCCCACTTAGTATGCTAATTTTGGAGTAGAATATTCCAAGAACCGTTTGTGGTTGGCGCTGACATTTGGAATTTCTTCCAACTCAGAGAAGCCATCATGTTTTTTTGTCAAGCAAAATCGTCCGACGTGCAACCGTCATTGGACCACTCCTGCACAGATGTTTCTAAAAAACTTTCAATAAGGAGAGATTTCAGGCCTGTAAAACTTACTACAAGTGCTGCCTTCTTCCACGTATCCTTGTTCGCACTGGCACTTCGGCCCATCAGCTCCATTCAAACATACCGCATGTTCGACGTCGCAGGGTTTTTCAGCGTTTGGGTCACACACTTCTCCAAGACCTACTCTCTCCTCAGCTAAAAAAAATAAAAAACAAAGCCTTCTGGAATTGATCACAACATTGCTTGGAAGCATCATGCATGCAGCTTTTGAAACGGTATAAATAGATATAGACTTAAGAGATATTGCATTTTCATTGACTTCACAGTGCTTCCGGTTGTTTGACATCACTGAAAATTTTTTTATGGTGGTGGCATTAAATTTATATTTATAATAATAAGAGGCTTGTTAGTGTTAAACAGTGCATCATTTGCAGCGAAACACAAGTAATATGTCAATAGGATACAAATTTGTTCAGAAAAGCTGTCATACACATAAACTTTCAATTTTCAATTTTTGCTCAATAATTGTCACTGGGAACGCACCAGAAAAATAATTGCCCAGCGAAAGGGTTAAATTGATCTGGTTTCCGGGTAGGATTCTATGGGAATAAGATTATCTTCGTCAGATCGATTCCCAAAAAAGACAATTGTGAAATCTGATTAGTTGAAGTTTTTCATAGGAGGGTGGCAGGTGGTAACTTCCCCTTCGCAAATTCACTCTCAGAATTTTTCTACACAGTACCTTAGTAACACATGAAAGTTTAAGAGGACGTTCAATCTGTGTTCAGTGAGATTTATCTCGATGTTCAGGGATGAGCAGCTTTCGGAAGCTCACCAAAATGCGTTTTTAATCATCCATATATTACGTTTTTCAAGGACGTTCGTTGAACGTTTAGGAGGCGTTTTCATTGAGCATATATGTGCTATCCATCTGACAGTGACTGGGACCAAACAAGGGTTCACACAACTGATGCAGGCGACATCAAAATAGCCGCTATAGCGAGTCAATAACTGGTACAGATGGAATTAGTCCCCAACACTTTCCCCTGCGGTGCCCCATCTTTCCCCACGGACGCCACAGGGAAGACATTTGAATTCTTCAACAAATCGATTTCATGAGGTAAGTCCAGTCTAAGGAGACTCCAGAAAAATCTGACTCGAAGGATGGAGAAGGATGGTTCAATTCCCAAGGTGAATTCATGGGGAAGTGAATGGGATGGCGCTTGAAGTCCTTTTGGCCAGCTAGCACTGGCAAAAAGAGACTCCTTGCTCTGATTTGCTCCTGTTCTAGCTCATTTTTGACAGGCTGTAAAAAACTTAACTTACTTAACTTAACTTGACTTACTTAACAACTATTAATAAAGAAAAGTTATCTTTCTGCTGAATATCCAGTGTACCTAAGATCATGCTAGTGGATGAGAAAGTTCGTCAGATGTCTAATGCCACCTAGAGATGTGCCAATCAAACATCGTCCAGGCTACGAACAACTTTTATTTTTTGGAGGCAGTGTCGCACACGTATTTCCATTCTGTTCTGAATAATCCCTTTGATTCTCTTCTGCTAAGAATCAGGTACGGATTGAATTCTATTACTGCATGAGCTGTGTAGCCTACAGATCCCTCTATTCAATCTAACCTGGTTAACTTCTTGGCATTACTTCATACATGAAAGTCATTATGATGCATTACTATTTCATGAATAGCTGTCGAATTTTAAGGTAGACTTTGTCTTAGGGATTAAAAAAATGTAGTTTTCAAATCATGGTTACCACAATAGAAACATTGCTTTTCAAGTAAATTCTCATAAAATCATTAAATTTTGATTCTGACGGACTAAACAGAGACTAGTTTACAAAAAATACCTTGTAAATTGTGTGGATGGAAACAAAGCATGACTGCGTTCACGGAAGTATACTCGGGCGCGACAGTTAAAGGGATGAGTGGATAAACATGTCATGGGATGAACATTGCAAAGTGCCTCTAGCGAGGGGCACTCTGAGACCGACAAAAAGTCGCACTTCCTAATCCAAGCCAAGTGCTGGGGTCATCTATGAAAAATGTATTTTTTTGCTCCCTGAGTTATTTATGATATTATGAGGTCCGCCACCAATACTGCAATTGTGAGTTAACCTTCGCATATACAGGATTTGAGTGAGGAAAAATAAGTCTTAATACCAAATCACTTCCAACTAGGATGATTTCCCTACCTATTCATATTCGCGTCAAAAAGGAAGAAAACACACTTAAACGAATTGACTTCATTGATGGAAATCTCTCAAATTTTTTCTATTCTATTTATATATTTTTTGAAGTAGAATCCTTTTTTCTGCCCTGTTTCTTAGACTGAGTTCTGTTTCTTAGCTATTTCAAAGTAGCTGCGTGATTCAGCAAGCAAATGCAAATAATGAACGCGAAGACGATATTTGAATCAAATGGACAGAAATACATAAAAAATATGCAGGTCAACATCGAATGATGACGAATATGCGACTCAGCTTTTCATCTTAATCTTGTGGATAGAGCATGGATGTGTCAAATATGTATCATTATTCCATGTATTTCAATTAAAGCATCTGCAAAAATTGCAATATACCCTCTCATATTTCACCAAATTCCAGCTAAATTCATCATAATATTTTTCGAACTGTTCATGAAGCATATCACATTCAGATTGACCACATTTTCTTGCTCTATGATGTTGCCTTATTGGATAAAGTCCATGTGACTCACACGTATTACAGTCACTCTTCATTCACTATAATTAGGGGAATAGGTAAAAATTTTCACTTATTATTTTTTAGCTAGTCTTCTTTTCCTGCATTTGATTACATCTCTAAGCTTTGGGAATAGACAGGATTACTTGTTATTAAATTGGTCACTCACATGGCCGTGCGTAGATATATGGGAGGATTGCCAAGGATCCAACGAGGACAAACAGGATCTTCATTTCGCAAATTCTCTTGGTTATCCAACAGGGTCCGTCTTCTTCAAAAACTCAAAGTTCCAGTTGAATTTCCTAGCCTTCGCTGGTGGGAGGTGAAGCTGTGATGCTCCTTTAGTACCTTTCCTCACTATATGTAGTTCCCTCCGTTTTTGTGTCTGGGATCATGTGACAATGATGAAAGACTGCCACCTCAGCATGTGCCTCAATAGCTTTCCTTTGACGATGGGTCTTATCTAAGTCAGATACAAGATTCACCCTCAATATTCTTTTTTTTTGTTTCTAGAGTCGTTTAAGAGCCCAGGAGATAACTTCATTGCCCCCTATATTGCTATGAGTTGCCTGTTAGTTTCATTCACCTCCGTATTGGGCCCTATACAGCGCTTGCCAACCTGTTCCATTTGCTTTTGGGTTTGCCATTTTTTCCGTGAGAGTTATGGAATGATTGAATTTTCTGAAGTGTAAAATAGGGTTGATGATAATGTAATATAATTAATAACTCTTAAGATGTGGACTTCTTCAATTCAATTCATCAATGATATCTTCGATATTCATAAATTTATTTTCGGAGGACAGTACCTGGAGTCCCTACACTACCTCACCTCTACCAACATAAGACAATCGTAGGCAACCATTACTTTGCTGCAGTGTGATGACGGACTGTTCCAAAGGAAAAAGAGCAATGTAGTTTGAAATTACCCGAGGAAATCGGTCTATTGAAGTATGAACAATGCTCTGGATTTTCCATTGGAATGGGTGTTGAAAACGTTGCCACACCTTTTATTGTGGCAAAACGACCAAAGAGGGGTGATTCGATAGGCCAAATTCCATCACGATTTCCAAATTCATGGTTTGACTGAACTAACCGTCGCTATACTTAAGACAAGCAACGATTTTGTATGAATGGTGTATGCTGATCAGGGGAGTACCAAAAGGACTGGGTGGCCCCTGGTACTGGCCAAATTGATTTATTTCTTTGAGTCATTCCCATCCCCATTTACCTAATATAAGAAATATTGCTTGTGACCAAATCCAGTACTTTCAATTTTTCGCTAAATAAATGTTTCATTGGAGTCACTTTGCGTTCTCCCCAAATATTTATGATGATATCAGCCATTCAGAACTTCATTATTGAGGCTGTGCACATTTTGTCAAAGAAGAGTTCCTTCGAAGCCTCTATTCTGGCAAAGTTTGCGGCGGTAGTTAGTTTGGTCTCATTTCAAAAAAGGGGTCGCGGAAATTCTGGATTCGGCTTCATAAATGAAATCCTATAATGAAAACGACATTGAAAACGGCATGTTTTTGGGTAAAATCGGTCAAATGTGATTTGACCAAATCGGTCAAATGTGATTTGACCTCTCACTGTAAATGTCTGCTCCTTAAACCCTTAATAATTCCAGTGTCGTTCGCACCATGCTTCCCATATCTCCTTGAAAAGTCATCATTTTCACAGGTTTTCCTAGGCACACTGGATAAATTGCACTTCGAAAGTTGCTCAATTACAAAAATTCTATTGTTATTTCTCCTGTTTGCATGCTTCGATGATCATAAAAAGAACCTGAGATTCTCCTTTCCATGTCCTCTCGAGTTCTGCTCATTTGAACTTCGTTTCATGTTTGGGGGCTGAGTAATGACATTTTGAGCATCGGTTACTGGGTCATTCCACGCTAATTCACCCAACGTAGAAAAATCTGTTTATACACAAAACTCAATTAAATATAATCTGGGATATTTTAACATTTTGTGGGGAGTGCTTCTTTTTCAAATTATCAGGATCTTTCAAAGCCTCACATCTGCAGATGCTCATATGGTAGTTTTTTATTATTTAATTTTAAGAGGATACAAGGCAGATTTTAAATATCTGATTGGAAAGAAAGTTCTCGGAATTTCATGAACAATTATTACAATGCTGTAATAATATACGGTTGTATGCCGAAGGATACGACCTACTTATAAACACTCGCAGAACATTCTAGCATGCTCTGGAAAAAAATTGTACTGGATATTCAAGAAATTCCGAGAACTTTCTTTCCAATCAGATATAACTTCATGATTTAAAAGCACCTCACGCACCCACATGGTAGAGATAGAGCGTTAAGAAAACTTGCTTTTTTTCCCTGTAAGTATATTATAGTTGTCCAAAGGAATTGAAAATCCTTAGTTAACATGATAATCCCCAGGAGGAAATCTTCAAAAAGCTATGTTGAACACTTGTTATACCCCTTCAAAAGAACACTTGTTATACCCCTTCAGCAGACCCTTTGGTAGCACATTGAAAATAATTCATGCGAGCTATCTTGATTTCACCAATAGGACATTCGTCTTCTCATGATATTAGTAAAACATGAGTACTACAATTACCTCGGGATAGGATATTTTTATCTATCTGTCATGAGGACCGAAAACGGAGGGATTGTTGGATTGGAAGAAATAATGCCAGGGGACTGCAAGGAATGGAACCTGAGCCTCCTTGATTGCCGCTCAGGTGTGCTACAATTACACCACCGAACCCGTCACATTCAACTCTGCCTCTCAATGGGGCTATCACTACAGACCCTCGTAACAGAGTATCCGGATCTGGACATAAATCCCAGAATACGAGGGTAATACACGAACAGACTCTGAATGGGAAAATATTTTCTGTTTGGCGCACATTATTGAGCCCTGGGTTGACAGGCCCCATTATTTTCAATGATACAGGTGATAAGAACTTTAAGAACTTCACTTTGAGCAACAGTCGATATTCATTAATAGAACTTAGATATATGAAACTTTCAGAAGGCCAATTTTGTTGTGTTTCCAATGTAGTAGAAAAATATCACAAACGTAGATCATCCACAACGGATTTTATGAGAGGTCAAACACAGCGCGTTTTTTGGGTCACTAGGTATATTTAGGGGAGGTTAAGAAAAAAGTTCAGTTTCCATATCCGGGTCCTCCTATCGAGATAATATAGAGTCTTGGTTACCTGTTTTTCAGGCCGTCGGAGACGCGAACATATTACTGGGCGTTCAAGTTTTACATTTGCAAATGGTACTTTGGCTACGCGTTCCAGATGTGGAACGGTGAGTAATATCCACGCATCTCATCGCAGATGGTGTTCATACGACATCCAATCTAGGGGCATTATGGACTCAGTGATACACTCCTGTACGATTTGGTAAACTCAAAAATCCCCAGATATCCAAATGTAATGCATTTCTCCCTTGTTTTAATCTACAGCAACTAAAATTTTCTTTCCTTAAAAAGGGGTTCACCATAGGAATGAATGTTTCAGTTTGCCTACTGGACTAACGTTATTCAGTCCTTCGTCGAATATTAGTTCATCATAGTCGCATGTAGACATTACAACCCTTGACTGCGACCAGAGTTCCCCTATCACATTCTCCCATCATTCATTATCTCCAACAACATATGATGCTTCCTTTCTGTTCGTCTCTCATGGCAAAGTAACCCAAGTTCACGTCCTGGTTGCATCCTTCTCTGATGGCGAAGAGGACATGTCATTTTCTGTCCTGGGGGTATTTCGCTAGAAACCCAAGTTGTGGATGTGAGATAATTGCCCAGAAACCCATCTCGAGCAAAACATTCCTATTTATATTCAATCAATACATTTGTATTGACCGGGAAACCCTTGCTGCAGACGCGAGACGATAGTCTAGAAACCCAGCCTTTGCGTACTGTGCCTTGAATTTCAGCTGCTTCGACACCAATAGTAGCTTTCCTTCCTGGATGACTGACTTAAACGAATCACGCAACTATCATGCGCTGTATCGAAGCTCGCGAAACTATCAAGTCGTTCCTTATTGGTAGATCTTGGGTCGTGATCGCGTTCCTGGGAGAACGGCTGGAAGAGCCCCTCCACGTCTTCGACGCCTTCCTCACGCGTTTTAAAACTGCTGGTGACGTCACCAGTGAGCCGTCATACATTCCTTGCCGTCCTCTCAAGAACGGGTAACCAAAACTCCCTATTATTGAATGAAGGCACCAATCTTGAATTCGTCTTATGTGACGTCATGGGCATAAAAACGCGAGGATATCTGTCTCCTTTATAGTAGGGAGATAGTCGTTCATTTCGGGCTCGCGTCCATTTTCCACTTTCGTCTCAAATATATTCATCTCCATTGCTCTCGATGGTTTCAAGGCAGAAAAGAGCCACCGGTTTTAGAGGGCATGGGAGCTGAATCATTCACAGGAATTCCCTCAAGGTTTTCTGTAAATTTTTTCACCATCGCCATCATTTGTAAGTTCAAAATTTTATCCGAAATATTCAACATTTCAAGACTTGAAGAAATGGGATTGGGCAAAAATATTACTCTAAAAATTGTTCTTCACCGTCACCGTGACAAATCCAGAAACAAAAGCCTATTTCGTCTCTCTTAAACATCAAATCCATTTCGCAAGGAATGTGGATGATTGGCAGAATCTGAACTGGTACTGGGATGTCAGTGCAGAGGAGATTGCTGCGCGAGTTTTAGTATGCTTGGGGATGCTGATAATTAGAGTTAGTTTTGAAAGTGGATGGGCAATTGAAGGTGCTCGTATAGCATGGTATTTAGTCTAGATCAGGGGTGCCCAAAGTGGATGTTCTCTTAGGCACTTTGTGTGCTGGATGCGGCCCGCGGGCAGCACTTTGGGCACCCCTGGTCTAGATGAATGTCTGTCCGATTTTGATTTTTTTGGCGTTCTATCATGAGGACATCTCCTAGAAACTATGAGCTGCTGAAACTTCCGAGCGATGTCACTGAATTGAAAGGTTTCATCCGAGAACATGGTGAAATAATTTCAATTTTTGAACATTTCCAGGGATTTAGAACTTCCGTTGTAGTTACAGGGGCTCTGATGTCATGGGCATCGCCCCTGACATCACCTTTATTTTGGCGTAGTGAATTGAAACAAAAGAGAGTTTTGGTTACTCGTTCGTGAGAGGACGGCAAGGGATGTAGGACGGCTGACGTCATTGGTAACGTCACCAGCAGTTTTAAAACGCTTGAGGAAGACGTGTAAGACGTGGAGGGACTCTTCCAGCCGTTCTCTCAGGAACGTGATCGCGAAGCAAGATACATCAATCAGGAACGACTAGATAGGCGCATGAGCTTCCGTATAACGCGTGATTCGTTCAAGTCAGTCATCCAGGAAGGAAATCTAATATTGATGCTGAAGCAGCTGAAATTCAAGACACAGTATGCCCAGGTTGGATTTATAGGCAATTGTCTCGCATCTGCAGTAAGGGTTTCCCGACTGATAAAATGTACGTTTTGCTCGAGATGGGTTTCTTTACAATTATCTCACATCCACAACTTGGGTTTTAGCTAAATATTCCCCAGGACAACAGTTGAAATGTCCTCTTCCCCCTCAAAGAAGTAGGATGCAACCCAGACGTGAACTTCGGTTACTTTTCCATTAGAGACGGACAACATAATATGTTATTGGGGATGGTGAATGATGGGAAAATAGGACAGAGGAACTCTGGTAGTAGCCAAGGGTTGCAATGTCTTCATGCGACTATGATGAACAGACAAAGGAATCAAGAACATTAGTCCAATAGGCAGTATAATTAGTCTCAGGCAGTCATTCCGAAAGTGAAAAACCTTCTTAAGGAAAGAAAATTTAATAGCAGTAGATCAAAACAAGGGGGAAACGCCTAACATTTAGATATCTGGGGATTTGTGAGTTTACCTGGTTGTACCTTAGCTGTGTATCACTGAGTCGACCATACCCTTATATTAGGTGTCGTTTGCACACAATCTGCGGTCAGATCCGTGGATGCTACTCGCCGTTCCACATCTAGAACGCGTAGCCAAACTGCTATTCGAAAATGTAGAACTTGAACGCCTAGTAATACGTTCGCGTCCCCGCCCTCCTCAAAAACGGGTAACCAAAACTTTCCAAATTTGGGACAAGGAAGAGGCTTTTTGAAAATGTGTTGCATCTATGAATGAATGAATGCCCACGGTGTGAGCGTTTAACTTAAGAAGTACGACGCTCTTATCATTCTCGACTTACAGGTTGTACAGGTTTGTACGTCAAATAAAATCCTTATCTGTTGACATCCGTGACCTGTAAGAAATATTGCACGCTTATAGATGTAATAAAATTCATATCTGACAAAGAAACCATTTTTTTCCTTACCACCCTCATGACGTAGTTTAGAAATCCGCCAGACCTGGATTTTCCCTTCGCTAATCTCGTGCATTTTCCAAAGAGAATAACTGTATTCTGTCAGAATCTGTCTGAGTCATCAGTTGAAAGCATGGAGAAGATAAGAATGTCGCAGTGGTTCCCATGGAAGTATAAACCTGACACTAGCGGCCTGCGGCCGCTACGCTGGCCGTCTAATAGACGACAATTTGAAAAATCTATTGGGAGCATAACGTCTCCTTGGCATCCTCTGTTCATCGCATTGCCCATTCTGAACTGAACCGCTTCATTAAATTTATATACATGCAGTTTACAGTACACAGGGAGCTTTTGTTCCAAAACACATCCATCATGTTATTCGAGCACATTGCCACAATCGCTATTGTGAACGCATTGGTTTAGCAGATTTTCATGAGACTCGAGACGACTTTGCTGATTTCGTTGTCCCAGCACATTCTTTGCCACCACACACTCTTGCACCACCTATTAGTTTATGGGGGTGTTAGCATTAGCTTATAGTACAGACGCTACTGATTCTGAAACAGTACGGGCCATTTCCAGGAACTTGTTCGACTTTAGCACAGAAGTAAGTTAGCACATGTGCGGCACAATACTAACGAATAATTCCTGAAAATGCCTCGCCGACACATTAGCACCAGTGAGCAAAACTATCCTGAGGCTCTGAAAAAGTGTGAGTTGCAGCAGGAGCACTTTTCCGTTGTGGCAGCAATGTTAAACAAATGCCCCCTCCCTACAGCAAAATGTACAGCCTGAAAATGCTCGTTGTGATAAGTGACTGTTATTATTGAGATGACAGGAAGAGGCATAACAAATGTCCCGAGTTCCGTGGTGAAATGGTAGCACACGCAATGTAGCAATGCTTGCCTGACCAGCAAGCTGGAGATCCGGGTTCAATTCCCGGCCGCCCACCGGCTTTCGACACCGGAATGCTGCGTTCCTTGCTTCAAATTGCCCAGCAGGTTCCACGGCTCTCCTATTCCTGAGGTCATCATTCGCTGCCTCTTGCTGTTCATCTGTCTGAGCGGCCCTAAGCTCCTTACGTACAGCTGCGTGCTGTTGATCGCTCATTCTAGCCATTACGGCTTGCACCTCCTAAAGCACCGATTTAGGCACTTCGCAGCGCATCTGCAGTGGCAAACGTTGTTTCCGCGTCAGCACCAATCGTTTTTTATCTGCAGCGACTGCCTCATCACTGCTCATCCGATAATTCCTTCTCAACATCTTTTTTTGATACGGTAACAGCTATCGAGACCATATTTAAAAAACAAAAAATATATATATACATTTCGTAAAAAAAAACTCTACTTAAAAATAATGTTACCCTCAGAGAAATACCCCAAGATAATTTTTCTTTAAATCAACATTCCCAGAACTATTTTTGCATGGAATTTCAGCCAATGCATCGGGATCACACTTGGATTTAGCATCATTCAATCTCTCATTCATTCAGGATCATTCATGAATGAGACAAAATATTTCAAGAACTGATCGATCTCGCGAAAAATGGTAAAATTTGGAATTTAACCCACAAACCAGTGTTAAGTGCCCCAGTGCCCCAGGGGCAGAAATTTGAAAGGGAGATTTTTTCAAATAATTTTTTGCATCAGTTAAATTGATTAACATGCAAAGTTGAAACTTTGCATGAATGAGACAAGGAGTTGCAGAAAAATGTGGAAATGTGGAAATGGGAAGGTGAATCTTGGCACACCTATAAGTGACATGGTATTATTGAGATTAGGGAGTATTCAGCTATCATGGTACATCCACTCCGGGTATAGCTTTTGATTGCGTCGACCTTTCCAAACAATTTTTTTTCGCCAGCAAAAAGGGCAAACGTATGAGGTTGAAACTTTGTTGACA